AGTACTTGCAAACTCCAAGGTGGCAACTGCCAAGCTAGGATGTTGTGTCGCATCGTGCAGGCGCGAAGGCGCTGATCATGCTCCTTCAAGCTTGAGGGTCAGTATGCCCGTGCCAAGCCCAATGCCAAAGATGCAGAACAACAAATGCTGATATGGATGTTGCAATATTGTGAAAGGAAGGCCACCAGCCCGATCCGGATGCGGTGAACAAGAAAAAGAAACCGGCAAGCGTTCCTACATGATCTGGTGGACGCTGGGACTAGGGTCCTTGCCATAGGGGGGGGGGGGGGATGTCAACTCGCAGCCAGCCATTAGACGCGAAGCCTTGAGTATATTAATGTGCTTTGAATTGTGGAGAAATTTGTGCCAGTCTCTCTGTTGTCAAGCTCGGTGCTTTTCGGTACCTTGCATCGCCGTCCTTCTTTGCGTGATCTTGTAATTTGGTCGTTGTGGTTGTGCCCATGCTGGTACCTTTCACGACCGTTTCACCCTTTTCAACGCATGCAGGATCTTTTACGTGATCCGTTACTTTTTTGGTGCATCACTACTGGGCTCTATTGATTCGATGCGTTACAATAATTAGGCATTTTGATAGTCCCCGTCTTATGCTGCTCGTCTTATCTCGTTCTTTATGGCTGGCCTTTTCAGTGAAAACTTGGCGCAGCCTGTGCAGGTCCCATTGGGTAGTAACTGGCCTGATAGCCCTCTGGTGCACGTTGATCTATTGTTGTGGCAATCATCTTCTATGTTTTCTGCTCGATCCAAAAACGGATAGGCTGATGGTACTTCTTTTTAGTAGACAATGAATTAACGGTTGGATACACCAATGGGCATAAAGGGTAACATACCACGTACTGAGGTTGTTTCCCCTGCCAGTAGTCGATTGTAAAGTACGTCACTTCCCAGCCTGGAGCACCGGTTGCCTATTTGGAACCTTGGACTTGGTTCGGAAAGGATGGGTTGGGAATTCTCCAAACGAGTACCTGGACAGTCTACTGTTTTCACGAATTACCGTACCAATGGCTTCTTAGATGTTCATAGCGAAGTTTCCCACCACAGTATTGAGAGCCTTCGCTTGGGTGAGTGTGCCGAAGGCATAAAGAGTTAAGTGTTTTCACCCTCCACCGCCTCGTGGCACAATGTGAAAAACTATGGCGACGAAGCCTTGTGGCTGGCCCATTCCCGCTGTCAGAGGAGTGAGACTCCAAGCAGAGCTCTCCACTCCAAGCTCCTTGTGCATCTACCATCTGACTGAAAATACTCATGCTTCAGCTTGGGTGGGGGGGGTTGGTTGGTACCCACTGTTCTGTTATCAGTAATCGACAACAATCATCTGTTCCTCCTTTCCATGCAAATTCCATTACCAGATCAAAATCATGACATCTGATTTTCTTCTCGTAGCTTTTTCACATCGGATCCCCTGCTATTTGTCATGGCTACTGGAATCTGCGTACAGATCAGTAGGTGGGTGCTTTACCATTGCTGTGCCAACCTGCTCAAAAGCCTCCGTATACCTGATTGAAAAATTGGTCCTGCCACTGATTTTTTCATAGTGGAGCCCTGCCAAAAAATGTTTTAACTAGCCCCCTTTGAAACCCCCAATCATAAAGTCGCGAGGAAACCTCACGGATTTCTGTCCCGTTTTGTTGTTGTTGTAGTTTACGTTTGGCCATCGCCAAGCTGGGTCCATACAGTAGCGTTGGTTGCAGCAAAAGAGGGAAGTGGAGTCAACGACATGAGGTTGAAAAGGGACAGCTTGATGGTTGCTGTACAGCAGACCCCATTACATGCACTAGCAGGCTCTTAGTACCGGTATCAGGTCCTACTGGCATCATGCTACCAATGAGAAAAGACATCAGATCTTCAAACTCATGCCGCTTTCTCGCCTTTCTACTCAGCTCTGCTGTTTGTTGATTTAGTCACGGACTCGACTCAGTGCGCGCTGTTGGAGGAAGAGAGGGCGGACAATGACACAAACTACCTTCCTCTGTTCACTGGTGCCCTCTATTACCGTACAATAAAGATGCCGTCCGCCACTCCCAAGATGGATGTTCTCGCCTTGTTAGATGCCTATAGCCAGGTCCATGAACGGGCGCAGAAGGATCAAAAGGCGTCTACCTGGCAGCTGACGTTGGCACGAAAGAGCACAGGACGCGGCGGAGCTCTGATGAATGGAGTCATGGTGGCGGAAGATGTTCGCGAGGAACTGCGTGCCATCAAAGTCTTGAAGTGTACTGCCGATGAACCAGAATTACAAGAGGAGGAAACATGCAAGAAATTGCAACGACAGTTTGTCTTGGCCAATGCGACTGACGAGGAGAAGAAGCAAGAATCAGCATCGACCGCTGCGGAGACTACTACAACTGGACTACGTCGTCGCAAAGGCAACGACGACAAGGAAAATCAAGCCGAGAATGAGTGGACGGTGGAAAAGGAAGAAGAGTTAGATGAAGAGGATCGGTTGCGACGGGCGGATCCTTTGGTCTTTTTTGGAGCAATGCCACCCAAGGAGCTGCGAAGAGCACAGCAAGAGGCACAAAGCGCACTGGCGAGGTATGTGGAAGCTGCCAATTTGATTGTGGCCATTCAGCAGAGCATGCAGCAATAAACCAGCTAGAAATAAAAGTGACTTTGCAAGCAAGAGTTAATAAGAGTAACATGGT